TGACCTCAGCCACTGCATAATGTTGTGTTTAAGAATTTTATTGCTGGCAATCTTAAAAAAAAAAAAAAGTTACAGTTTTGTGGGAAAATAGTTTGACCTTTTCACTTCAAGTTTCTCTCCAACTGAAAAAAGGTAGTTTTAATAAAAGTTCAGGTAACTCATCCCCCATAAAATAAAGAAGCATGTGAATATTAACTTATTATTAATAATACTTAATAAAAACTTAAAATAGATTGCTTTATTTTTCAGGACCACAGATCTATAAGAATGTGAGTGCAAATGCAGTAAAATGGGTCACTGGATAGATAATATAGGCGGTCCGACTAGCATTTGTATACAAGGTACAGGATTTTGATTTCCTTACAGATAATATAAGTTACATAAAAATGTAACTCACGTATTATCACTTACTGAAAATTCCCAGATACACTTTTAAAAGGAAATATACTCATTTTGGGAAACACGCTTTTCCTGCCCAGGAAATGAGAGTGATGAGTATGCTGCAGAAGCCGAGCAAACACAGCGGTGTTCCCATCTCACATTCTACCAAGGCTACTAACCTCCTTATGGCTGACGGCATGTGAGAAGTGAACTTAGAGGTCTTTTTTTTGTGCCTTGTATATTATTTTTAATTTCTATATTCTAAAAGACAAAGGAAAAAACTTATAAACAACACTTCCAAAATAATGCAGTACATATGAATTTGTAATTTGTTTCATTAATAAGCTGTTCAAATCCTTCCAGAATTAGCAATAATGGGAAGATATGAATAATCTGAAATACTTCAAAGAATTCAAAGATGAACTATTGACTTTTCATTATTGAGGTAAATTTTAATTACCTTAGAATTTTGACATGAAATACACTTTATAAAGTATGACATGTAAAGATTGTGTCTCCCTGTTTTCAAGAAATTATGTTCTAAAGCGAGAGTAGGAAATTTTCTACTAATTTTTAAACTAGTTCATGGATAAATGAACTAGTTCATATGACCAATGATTTTCTCAATTAGGGTAGTCCCATTTAATATCTCCTATGGTCTGAGGTGTCACAGGCATTGTAAAAAGGGGTTTGGGAGCAATTTATAGTTACATTTTATATAGCAAGCCTTCAACTGGAATTTAATATATTATCTCTCTATTGTGTGGAAAAGCCTCACACTTGTCTGCCATGAGCACATTAAATGGGGGTCTAGAATTATAAGGGATGATTTATTCTCTATGTATTTTCCTAACTATAAGATAGAATAGTATTGCCACATATCTCCTGGGCAGAAATCTGTTTTAAATGAATGAAATAATCTGTGAAATGTATGTAAAAAGAAAATCTTGTTCACTTCAAATGTCAAGAAACTTTCAGTTAATTAAGCTAAAGAAAAATAGTTCCTTGAAACATTAAGAAAATAATGTTTCAATGCAATTCACAACCGTTTTCGTCAGAAAAATGTTTATTTCAGCTTTATTTTCTGAATTATGAAAGGAGTTTATCCCTTGTAGTTCTGATTTTAAATATTATTAAAAATAAGCAATAATGATTTTTAAAAGAATGAGGCTGATTTCCTAAAAATCAGAGTAGGTAAATCAACAAAATAAGAATTTATCAACTCTATTTTCAGAATACTGAACTCCATTTTCCTTGTCATGTGCACCCCTCAGAAGGAGTAAATGCTACAAAAGCACTGGAAAGCTTTGAAACCTAATGAATGAAGGAAATAGTCTAATGGGTTTGAATTCAAGAAATGTAAGAAAAAGCCACCTTGGGACTATGGGATATTTCAGAACTTATAATAAAGATGATGTTTTATACACATATATATATGTTTTTGTATTCATAGACAAAAATGAATATCAAGGGTCAAGTAATAACTTTATTTTAGAAACTTCATATTTATAAATATTAATATATTTCATATGTTAATATATCATTTACATTGAAGATTATCAATTCAATATTCGATGCCTGTAAAAACAGATTGGATGGGTGGGAGGACTAGAATCTCAATCCAGCTGTGATTTAAAAAAAAAATACTTCTGTTAAAAATGTACGCAGTCTTGGGGATAGAGTGCTTAAAATTTAGGGATCTGAGTTTCATTAAGACTAATTACAGAAATATCATCCATAACTGTATAGATTTTAATCAAAGCAAGAATATTGTAAAAATTAACACTATGCCTATGTTTACCGATTTCACAACAAAGTAAGCAACTAAGAGTGACAAAAAATAATTTGAGATCAAGATAGCAACATGTAATTAGCATTTGCAAAATAATGGAACATGTTTTTGTGGTGGGAACTACAGTAGTAAAACTCAGAACTCCGTAGCCCTGGAGAAAATTTCATAAATCTGATTTGCAAAACCAAGGATCTAGATGAGTGATTTTGAAATTATGCCTTTCAGACTCTGAGATTTCCACAAGGTATATTAAAATACTTTTAAAAGCCAGTATATTTACAATTGGCAATTTTCATGTATAAGCATTACATTATATTAAGGTCAAAACCAAGCACACACATTCATGAGTAGTCTTTCATAAAAATGAAAAACAAGATTCCAAAATCTCAAAATGTCCAATGTCTGTCCTGCAATTGTAAATATGTCGGTTCACAAATGATGACAGAATGCTCCTTGGAAATTATTTATGTGATAATTGACAAATCCAAACATGATTATACAATCAAAATTAAGAGACAAGATTTTAGGTCAAGGTTTCATAGTACTTTACTATGAATAAGTTTCATAGTATTTCATAGTATTTTCTAGTAGGAAAATTCTTCTCAGCCCTTAATTTCCACTATCTAAGGTTGTTTTTTCCTCAAGGCTTTAATCTAAAGAAACTATTTTTAACTGTCTAGAAATTATGAAATGAAAGTTAAGAAATCAGAGAATAAAAACATATTTAGCTTCCATTCTTCCCAACCAATAATTTTGAACAAATTTCTGGTTGTCTAATTTATGTAAACTCAATTAAAAGTTTGCTTCTTTTGCTTTATTTTGTTTTGTTTTACTAAGAATGCCTTAAAAAGTTACAGCTCTTCCATAAATATTTGCACACAAACTGTTACCATTTTATTGGGTACCTAAGTCCATTTGTGGCTAAATAACTTCTGTTTTGTTGTGCTACAGACACACTCAAATGCACATGCACACACAAATATAAATGCACACACACAAACACACCCATTGAGTCAAAATTACTGACTTAGAGAAAGATGTTATGAAGAAAAGGGAAGATGTTAGGGAAAAAAATGTGTTTTCTTAGGTTTCCTGGTGTGTTCCTTGTGAAGGAAGTGTTCCACCTTTCTATTTTTCCTCTTTTATTTGTTCATTTTACAAACTTCCTGAAGTCAACTACACAGTAGAAAAAGATACTATTTTTAAAAACATCAAGAAATTTAAATCCAGCTAAAGTTAGTTTTCACCAATACTTTTCTAAGTCATGGCTTCATTAATGTTCATATACCCATTTAAGATATCTTTGAGGTTTAGTTCAAGGTATGTAAGGATGTCATTTTTTCTCCAAGATGTAAATTCTATCTATTTTGCTTCAGTGAATTTTATCTCTTATAATATTCATATTTGAGAGTCAAGTTTGAATAAGCAACTCAGTGACCATTTTTAAGTTTTTTATAAAGCAGTAAAAAAAAATAAAATCACAGTTTCAAGCCATTTATATCATACTTCAGCCACTGCCAGCTAGACTTCAGGGCTTTTATGTTTTTGGTCTGTCACTGAAGTCCCAGGAACAAATTTGTACTTTCATATTAACTTCAAAATTTTCTTTCAAATAAAAAAAAATTCACAAGATTTAAAAAAAGATGAATGACTCTTATCAGTCTGTGTTTACACTCTCTTGTTCTCAGAAGATCATAGGTACCTCTTCCACCACTTCTCACATCTACACACACTCAATCACACACACAATTTTTTGAATCAACAAAAATTAATTTACACTTAGAGAATAAAAGTAACAATTTTAAAGGCCCAAGACAATCCTCTAATTCTCTAAAATGTATTTCAGTTCTTTTCTTGGCAAATTTTACCTACAAATAATAGCATATAGTAGTGGAGGGATCCAGACTCCTTAATCTAGACAGAAATTATCTGGCAGTTTTTACAAGTTAGCGCACTCTGGTGTAGGAGTCCCTCTAAATCCCCTGGAGCAGGAAATGGCAACCCACTCCAGTATTCTTGCCTGGAAAATCCCAGGGACAGAGGAGCCTGGTGGGCTGATGGGGTCGCAAAGAATAAGACATGACAGTGAGCACACACCACTCTCTCAATGTGTAAAGAGAATTCTTTGGTCTTATGTTCTAGCCTACAAGTTTACAGCTATAACCCAGATATATATTTAAGATTTGTATTTGTAAATAATTAAGACTATCCCATTTGGACACTGACCCCCAAAACATGGATATTTTTTACCTCATTAGTACCAAATTAGAAATATCACTTATAATATCTGAAATAATTCAAGCTTAAAACTATTAAGTTAGCTGTTTAAAATTAAATGTGGTTCTGTTCTCCAATGCAACATATATCCACGATGATTATGAAAATAGAATATACCACTTATGTTCATTTCATGGTTCTGGGAGACAGAAAAAGTGACTTCACCTTGACAGAAGTAGCATTCTACTTCCATGTATAATATGGTTTTAATCTTAATGGAACAACATAAACAGTGACATGTTCAATGTAAAACAGATGTTAAAATCTTACAACTTCCTGGTTTAAATAAGGACCACAGTAAACGTCTTGGAAGAGAAGTATGAATACTTGACATAGGGGTGATACACTTTACGGATATTTTATTTGAAAGTATACGTAGGGAAATCACTCAAGATTCTTTCCGGAACAGTGTCATTCTACTCTTCTTTTAAACTGTAACTGGGGCACTGACTACTAAAATGTATACAAATGAAAAAAAAAAAAGGATGCTGACGATAATACATATAGGTGGGACAGCACGCAGGAGTGAAGGCAGGCGGGGAACACTAACCATATGAGGCTTGGATGGGCAACAGCGCACAGGGAAGAAGCCCGTCCACAGCCACAATCGCAGCAACTGCAAAGCAAACAAAGAGCCCAAGATGAGGACGAGGTCCCACTCCCTAGACACAGCACGCAGACACGACCAGTTCAGACGGGTGTCTGCTTTGCTGCTTAAAAGCAAAAATCCTACATACATTCAATTAAGTTTTCCACAATGCCCTTCAAATTAAGAAGCATTTCATGGATTCAAGAAATACCAAGCTGTATTCAATTGTTCTTTTTATTATACTTAAAGAGCTTACTTGATAGGAAATATAATGAGTCAAAGTATTTGATTATCCAATTAAAACAAACAAATAAAGCCATAAGCCTACTTGAATATGTCTTTCCTCAGAAATTCCTGCACAATTTATATTCAAAAGACATTCTAAACAGCCTTGTAAATAAATATTTTTAGTAGAACCTACATATTTAAGATGGAGAATAACGCCTTGCTCATTTGACCCACTGATTTCTTATAGTGGTGGCATCATTTATCATAGACTATTGAAAATGCTATGCTTACATGACTTCACCAATCATTTATGGATAGTGACCATTTAATTTATATTTCAGATTTTAAAAATGCATCTCCATAATATATTCACAGAGCTATTGCTATATATAAAAATCAACCTATATATACAATACATGCACTTTTCTGGATATTGCAAGATTCAATATTCTTTTAATTTTCCACATATTCATAGTAAAAAAAATCCAGAAAATACTAAGTAAATTGTTTAATATAATGCATTTTATTGTTAGAAACCACATAAACTATTGGCAGAATAGAACACAAAATTATTTAGTGTTTCAATGCATTCACTTCCAGTTTTTATAAATTTCCCTTAGAGTGATTTCAAGACAACTGTGGGATGAGCTCAGTAATGATACCACCTACCAGCAGGCCAAGACTTTTATCTAAACTCTGCTTATTTTGAACTTTAATTATGAAATGTATCTACTCATTTTATATCAAATAAGGAAAAGAAAATACATCCAATGTATTTGGAAATGCTAGCAAAATTAGACAAGTATTTCCAAATCAAATTCCAATGGACTTTCTCAAAGGAAAACTTAGCAAAGTTCCATATAGTTTCTTTGGAGCACAGACAGTACTTCAGTTTTTCCCATTACTAAGTGTCTGAGAATTTGGCTGTCACTAAAATGGCAATGGTGACATTTATTTCCAATTTGATTATTTGTATTTTAAAAAATATTCCAAATAATTATTTTCACTGTAGAGGCATTAAAAGTCAAAATTCAGTATATCAAATTTTAAAATATTTATAAGAATAGATAAAGCATCTGTACAATACTTTGGCAAATCTTGATATACTTCCTTAACATTACATTTATTTCATTAATGTCTTTGATATCTTATATAACCTTCCTTATGTTAACCTTCCTATTGCTTCTGCTTATATAAGTACTCATATTTAGGGGTGGCAAATTATAGCCCATGGGCCAAATCTAGCACACCATTTATATCTGTAAATACAGTGTTATTGGAACATAGCTACTCTCATTATTTGTCATTCCCGGAGGAGTCCTGCCTGATGTCATGGCAGACTTAGGTAGTTGTAACAGAGAATGAGTGGCCTGAAAAGCCTAAAACATTTATCTGGCACTATAAAGTCTTCCTTCCTCTTCTTTTAAACTATTAGTTTTGTGAGACGAGGATGATTCCTTGATCTTTTTTTTTCCCCCTCACAGTTTAAACATACTGAATGAACCAAAAGTAGTTTCACCGTAATTGGTATTACTTAATGGCACAATAGGGCTTCCCTGGTGGGTTAGATGGTTAAGAATCTGCCTGCAATGCAGGAGACCTGGGTTCAATCCCTGGGTTGGGAAGGTCCCCTGGAGAACGGAATGGCTACCCACTCCATTAAACTATTAGTTTTGTGAGACGAGGATGATTCCTTGATCTTTTTTTTTCCCCCTCACAGTTTAAACATACTGAATGAACCAAAAGTAGTTTCACTGTAATTGGTATTACTTAATGGCACAATAGGGCTTCCCTGGTGGCTTAGATGGTTAAGAATCTGCCTGCAACGCAGGAGACCTGGGTTCAATCCCTGGGTTGGGAAGATCCCCTGGAGAACGGAATGGCTACGCACTCCAGTATTCTTGCCTGGAGAATCCCATGGACAGAGGAGCCTGGCGGGCTACAGTCCATTGAGAATCCCATGGACAGAGAAGCCTGGTGGGCTATAGTCCATGGGGTCACAAAGAGCTGGACATGAGTGAGCCACCAATGGCACAATTACCTCAATTTATTAATAGTTATTAATGTGGAACATTTGAATATATGTGCTGATTTTGAATAGTACATTTCCAAATCAATAAATAATAAATAATATTAGATTGTTGAAAAATATACACAATTGTTTTTTAACAGTTAAAAAAAGGTGATGTCATATCTAACCAAGTATAAATATCTTTCTAGTTGAGTGTGCAGAATTTATGAACTCATATAGAATTGTAGTTAGGAAAGCAAGAACTGGTCTGTGAATGGTCATTACCTTCAAGGATTTGTTTAATGCTTGATCAATGTTCTAAGACTCAAAAAATACTCATGATTTCAAAAATAATAGCATTTTATTCAGTCCTCTTCCTTTGAAAAAATATAATAACGCTTTTTTCTTACAAATTAGTACACACACACACACATACTCACACACACTTCACTATAACACTGCAAATTTTACTTCTGAAGACTATAAATTATATTACTTATCATTATACTTCAAATTTATAGTTTTTAAAAAGTTTAATCAAAAACCTGAAATCATGTAAAATCAAACACTCACACTTCTGTTTTTTTCTGTTATTGTTTTAGATTTGGTACTGATATTTTCTTTGACTTGTTTTAAGATGGCATAAATAAATGCCCTAGTTAACTTATTTGTGTTTCAGATTATAGGCATAAAATAGAGATAATAATTGATTCTATCTCATAGGTTTTGTAAAGTGAGAGAATATATGTATTCACTTAGATCAGTGTCTGGCACATTGTATGCTTTGGGAGAAAAGTAATAGCTATTGCTCTTAGTAATATCATAATCAAAGTGATAGAATAGGTTCTCATTATCTCAGAGAAATTTATTTTTTTGTGATTCATATAGTACTACCATACTAAGTATTTCCATTTATAACATACCTAAGATCTAGTTCCATTCAGACCAACTCACATAAACACAGATGGCTAGTGTAATTTAAAAAATCATTTCCACGGAATATATTTTCTGAGGGTTTAGTGATCAGAGCATACTGTGCATTAATATATCATTAAGAAAATTAAAACTGAAGCTCCTTTTCTATAAATATCTGAAGTGGAATAGTAATCCCTCAAATTACTTGTTTTAAATAAACTCTGAGGATGCTGTCACAGTAACACTTCAGCACCAGATGGTATAAAAAAACATGTTCTTTCTTTAATCAATAAATACTCAAAGTACAGGTTTAAAATGCTTACAAGTCTCAGAAATAATTTAGAAACAGAAACCAAAATATGCTAGAAATAGCAGCCAATCTAATTTACGGGAGCTATGGTTTGACACAGAGTCCATCTGCATTCCCATCAGATTTTAGCACCTGGAGTCTGTAAGTAACTGCATGCAGCTATAACAAGATCATTATTATCCAAGTTTAAAACAGTTTAGCCTTTCTAGACTTAATATAAAGTGGTAGATCTTTGTTTTAACAAGATATTTTGATTTGTCCTTCTGAAGATTAACATGTGATAAGGGAAGCTTTCCAGACCCAAAGAAGATTCAAATGAAATTACTTTAGCGAGGTCTTACACAGAGTTGATCAATAAATGTACTGTGTGTCAATGTAAGATAACCTCCCGTCTACTGAAGAAAGGTGATTATAAGTCTAGGGAAGAAATCCTCAAAGATACTAGATCAGAGAGCAAGACTACAGGCTGTGGATAAATGATGACTTAAATTCTTAAACAAGAGATCATACAAGTGGATAAGAAAAACAATGATCCTAAAAGATAAATGAAAGAGGCAGAAAGCAATTCCACAAAAGTATTTTAATTAAATAGAACGTATTTTCAGTTTACTTTAAAAAAAAGGAAATGAAATTACTTAATTTATCCATTTTAAATAAAACAATAACAACAAAAATGATGGAACTTAGTGCTGGAGAAGAGAGTGTAATTTGTGCCCTCAAAGGTCACAGTGAAAAGTACCACCAATACTTTAGAAAACAATCCTCCAAAACTTACTAAAAGCAACAAAAATGTCCTTACCTTTTGATTGTGTAGCAAAATGATTAAGATCATGGAGTCTGTAATTAAATGAGCAGCAATCACCAATGTATTCACTAATAAATGTATAGCTTTTGGTAAACTAGTCACTGATGTAAATGAGATAAATAATAGAAACTATACCACACAGGGTTGCTTTGAAGAATAAGTTTGATTATATATGCAAAGCTTTCTGCACTGTCCTGGGCTCACAGTCAGCATTTTAAAAATGTTTAAACTCATATTATTTTAATATAATGGTCTTATGGCAAAAAGTCAGGGGCAGACAATATGCATGAGGCTGGCTATAGACTAAAGGAGCCAATGACCAACAAATAAATATCTTGCAGTTCATAAAATCTATCTGTGGAGTCTATGAAGGAATGAAATTAATACAGTATAATATTAAATTTTTTAAACATTAGGTAAAAATTAGTGTGCAGAGAAACAAAATGATGACAGAAAAGCATACAAAATCTTTAAGAGTTACTGTATTCGAGCATTTCATGAATTTGCATTTTTATGAGACAATTTTAGTTCTCTCTGATTTCAATTTTTGTGGTAACTTCACTTAATTTTAAGAAAAGCAAAGAACTCAAATAATTTCAATTATAATGCTTATCACAATATACTGTCATTTGCACCACATCAGTTTTAAAATGCTAAAAATAACTGAAATATGTAACATATTTACAACAAAAGAAGTTTAGGATATTATTCAGTTAACACTGACAATGTTGTTTTATACATTTCTCAGAAAATCTCAT